CCAGACGCCCTCTTTTTTTAGTATATAAGCCCGGCAAATAAAGCGTAGAAATGAATGTCAGATAGATAGATATAGAGACAGATAATTGAGTCAAGCGAGCGGTAGTGCCAGTAATATAAAGTGTGTGTTTTGTTATCGAGATTGCAAACGTATTGACTGTGGAAATTCTGTGTATTGCAAAGTTGTATCGAGAAAGAATAAACTAGTTTTAATTAAGAAAGGACTTGTATCGCTGAAGTTTCTCGGAAAGAATTTCTACGGGAAATTAACAAACGAGCAGATACGCAACAGTACACTAATAGTTTCTTCCCCTGGTAACAGAGTACAGATAACCCATTGTATAGTTTGACCCTTAAAAAAACAACAACTTTTCACTGGGTTCTAATTGCCTGCATACCTTACTTAATGTTAAAAAATAAAAAAGAGTTTTTGTTTCACTATAGATTCTCGGGTTTCTTGTTTTGCGATACATTTATTTTGTAATACATTTTTATGTGATCTGTTAGTAACATGAATGAAATTTAATAATAATGATTAGAAACCTTTACTTAGCGATAAATCCCATGTTATTTAGTTGTTTATAAATATCCACATATTTCTTTATTTTCGTTATATATTTATCAAATTTCATTTGTATACAAGAGCTCACCACAAATATTTTGCATAAATAGAAATAAATCGCGTGACTAGAAAATAAATGCTCGAAATACAAGTTCTAAAACGTAGAGTGGTGAACAGCCTTTCAGTATAAATATGTTTTAATATTTGATTAACGATGTTTCGACCCACAGGAAGCAGTTGGTTAACCACAAATTTTATACTTGATAATAGCACATTCATATGGTTTGAAATGTCGTTTATTAAATATTTAGATATATTTCCAATGTCCCGCTGTGTTTCTTAATTTATATGCCCCCCAGTGGCACAGCGGTATGTCTGCGGACTTACAACGCTAGAATCCGGGTTTCCATACCCGTGGTTGGCAGATCACAGATAGCCCATCGTGTAGCTTTGTGCTTAACTTCAAAACAAACAAAGTTAATGTATATAATTTACTCAATTCGCTGTATAGATAAAATGTGCTAAAAGGTGAAAAATAAAGGCTGTCGGAACAACAAAAACAAAATATGGTTCAGAAATATTCAGACTTATACTTATTTGCAAGTGATAATTCATTGCGTAATGAAAGACAAATTATTTACACGTAAAGTATTTATTTTTCTGTGTTTCATTCCACTGATCTTTATCACATAAAGTTTACGTTATGCTTGGTGCTGCCCTCTTTCGAGGACATCCCATACTTGGATTTCCAGGTTTTGCATCGTGGGTCACGTTGTAAACTTGTGATGCTCTGGTAACGAAGATAACCTTCGACATTGGAGGTTTCTTATTTCAGTCTTCCCATCTCTCGTCTTTGTACTTCTTGTTATTAGCGTGTTGGAAATCATCGAGAGTGATATAGAATTTTTTTAAAGGTAAGTACTCTTTTTAAGGTATGTATGTGTATAATGCCGGAGGTATTAATTAAACAGTTCTTGAATATGTAATAAATTATAGGCTTTATTAGTTCTATCAGAATCGGTTTTGGCCTACGTGACAACCATTTCTGCTTGATTTTCAATCTATCTTTAGTCGTTTGATTGAAGAGACTTATTAATCTGAATAACGTTTTCAACATTTTGCATTGCTTAGGGCACCTATAATTTAGGCTCTGGGTCAGCAAGCTCAAATTAGTTATCACCAGGAAAAAGGAGCAAGGTAACCAGGTTTAATTTGTGCTCTGTCTGAGCTTTTACCAATTTGTATCACTTACCTGATCGTAATAAGTTAGAGAAGTTGATAAAAGTAGACTATGAACGTGACTGTTCGGTAAAAAAAGACCCAACAGCGTAGGACTAGGTGTACTACTAGTAGCAGTACAGTGTTATTGTTTTATTACACTTACAGCGTTTCTTAGATCGATTATCTAGATTGACTTTGTTTCATACTTGTAATATCCAGGGGGAAAGAAAAACCAAAACTTAATTTTTTTCCAGTGCAACATAAACTTTAGTAGTAAACTTTTTATCTGAATATTTTACCTTAAGATAGTGTCTTTTGCTAACATCTTAATCATTATTTACTTAATTTTACTTAGAAGCTCTCATTAATTAGCTCGTAAATTAGGGGCAGGTACACAATTATTTACTTAATTTTACTTAGAAGCTCTCATTAATTAGCTCGTAAATTAGGGGCAGGTACAGGAGGGTCGTTCCAGTACACGAGTCAAGATACAAGCCTAGTTCAGTTGAAATGTTAACTCGTAATTCTTTAATGATATATTGATTAATAAAATAAGTTTATTAATACTGTTTGGGTCTCTTTTTGTTTGTGACATTTTCTTTAGAACCATATTAAATTTAATGACATATAATTAGCAGTAATTTTTCACTCAAAGTAGAATATAATGAAAGAAATATGAAGACAAATCTCTATAATATAAAAGGGAGAATTTTTTTTTTTATTAGGCAAATTTTTCTTATTGTTTCTT